TCCCCAGACGAATTATCTTTCACCGATTGTTTTGACTCAACTTTTCTCAGTCATCATTTGAGTCCCGATCTCTTGTTCCTTTTTCCTGTACGACGTTCTCATTAAAAAACTTTGAGGAATTGAGGAGACTAGTTGTTGATCTAATGTCCTCAATCCCTTCCATTTCCTAATGCTGACGTTTTGGTGGTTTCATCCGTACTTTATCACTGACAATGAGCGGTGCCATAGCTGTTGTACATTTAGGATCATCTATAATTACGTCACTTTCCAACAATCCACCCAGCAACCGCATTTTCTCCAGTGTGACCTGCACCATTTTGTCTAGCAATAAGAAGCTGTTTATGTTCATACAAGAAGGTTCTTGTTTAAGCAGTTTTGAATATAGCAACAAATTCAAGGGTACAGGTTCCTTCTTGGATGAAATATTAAGTTCTGCTGCCTTTTCCACCGATAATTCAGGGAGTCCCGTATAGGAGGTCCTGACTTATCCAATCATTTCAACAAAGGAATTGCTTCGTAAGTTTCGCCGTCTACAAACGAGATACCTTCCTTTATTTCTACCTAATTGCTTGCTTATAATCCATTCTATCACACAATTCAGTTTTCTTTCTGAGACTGTCAGCATTCTGGTGCTTGTCACGCACCCTCTGTTCGATTAGCATATGGTAGCCATTCAATCCAACGACCAATGTAACTCTGGTCCATCAATTACGTTTTCAACCAGAATAAGGCTAGGTTGTCAACTCGCAGCTTAAAGGGGGCGCTCCTTAAAAAAGCGCGATACTTCTCAGCGAACATGACTACCGCAAACATCTCTGCTTTTGGCGCATCATACTTCATCTCGGTGTCACTTAGTACTTTACTGCCATATGCAGTGAGATGGAGAACTGTTCTATCCTTCCATTCTTGTTTCTGATGCAGTATTCCGATAAAAGCAGTATTCCGATAACTACTGAGGCATAATGCAGTATTCCGATAACTAATGAGGCATAAGTGTCGAGAACATACATGCCTTCCTATGTGGGCAAGCCTAGCACTGGCGCCTCACACATTTCCTGCTTGATGTTCTCGAAGGCTTCGTCAGCTCGTTCATTCCATTCACACTTCACTCCTCTGTTGCGCATCAACTGCTACATCGGGTAGACTTTGTCTGAGTACCCCTTAATGACTTCTCAAAAATAATTCACAAGTCCTAGAAAGCTTCGTGTCTGTTCTATGGGGCTTCCATGTTAACACTGCCTCCACCGCATCCGGATGCGACCTCGCGCCACGCTTATCCACCATTCCTCCCAGGTGTTTTTTTGTGAATCTTTAAGGATTTCGCATTTCGAGGGTTTGCACTTCAAGCCAGTTCTCTTCATGCAGTCAAAATTTTCATCAAGTTTGTCAGTCAAAGTGGGGGTCACTATCACCTCATAATCTACATAGCACATCACAAGTTTCTCATTTTCTTTAACATGCTAGTCAAGGCCTGAACATGAGTCTCCGAAAGATCTTCGTCGCATGGCACAAGCCGAACGGAATCCTCTTCCACTGGTTCAGGCCCAAATCACACGCAAATCTCTCTTGAACCACGCATAGATGAGAGCCTCTCAAAACTCGGAGATGGTAATTTTTTACCCACTTCGGATCCGGGTTCTGCCTATCAGCAGGTCCCCTTACGTATTCTCTCTGTCCTGTTTCCGTAAGGGGACCTGCTGATAGGCAGAACCCGGATTCGAAGTGGGTAAAAAATTACCATCTCCGAGTTTTGAGAGGCTCTCATCTATGCGTGGTTCTTGATATGCATCCTTTATGATCAACTCGTTTGGTAGCAAATATCGCAGGAGAATTTCAGTTGTCCTACGTTCTTTTTGGCTTCGATGACCCCACATGCCCATGGTGACTTCGAGAGTTCTATCATGTCGTCCTCGAGCAGCATTTCTTTTACTGCTCGGCAATCCTCCGATTTGTGCGGTGTCATGCAACTAATACCAGCTTTATGTTTTAAAAAAACGTCTGTGTTTCGATTTAAAACCCCTTTTAGCATCTCAAACTCTCCGTCCCCTATCTTACCTCTTAAATGCCATGTCTCCGGTAGAGGCGGCCAGTTACACTCTTATTGACGTGACGACGGGCATTCCGGAAAGTTTGAGCAGTTCGATAAGCCTCATCTGTTTCAGAAATCATTGAAAAAATTTTATTCAAAGATTTCGATTCATCAATTCTTTTTTAAATCAGATTTTCATTCGCGTGAGTGTGACAATCCTCCACTCGATGCTGCTTCAGATTTGGCATTTATTCATAGTCAATCCACATTGGTAAATCGTAAACAAGTTTTTTACCACGCTGGAATGAAATCGGTGTCTGCAGTGCATTCTACAACGCACTCACAAACAGCCCATTTGTTGTGACGAAAAACCCCTAAACTTTGACTGTTGAGGTTCCGCACAAGGCAAACTTGTTTACTGTCACTCAGTTTAAGTTACTCATCGTAAAAACAGCTACCGCTGCCTGCCTAGACTGTACTTTTACCTTTCTGTCTAAAAAAATCGGTATTTTATTCTGATCAGTTTTTATCCTGTTTATTTGTCGTTCAACATATTTTCTTGTCAGTACAATTTTGTTGTAGATTGTCACAACAAAGCTCCTAAAGAAGTCCCGCGCCAAAATGAACTGACCCGAATCATCGAGGTTTTCTTGCTTGAGAACATTCATCAAGAGGTTCCTTCCTCACATTTGGAGGACTGTTTTTGGAGTTCACCCCACTACATAGATGTCTCCGCGATTGGTGGCTGCCATTCTTAAGTTTGTGGGTATCAGGTCCTTCCATGTGAAACCCATATTTTCCCATATCTGTAATGGCATCAAAATGACTACCGCTCGTATGTCTACGAGTCTTCTGACTCCTATTTTCTTTCTGTCCTTGAATAGCAGATTTGCAGCCATATTTGCTTCGTATCCAATGATTACCACATCTTGTTCCATCATGGCAACATGACCAAGCCTGCGGAACTTCAACTCTTCTTGACCCAAAAATATATGTCCTATTTGGTCGCTGTCCTATAAATGCTAATCCCATCCACATTAGTTTAATGGTCCGAGTGTCATGGTCCACCTGTCATTAGTATGGCGCGCACAGCCATTGATACAGTGCGTGGTTCTGCTTGTCTCAGGTAATCCACATAAATGTCCAGATGCATCATGGTGAATTCCGAGCGTTCACTCAGATTCCTAATTACCTGAAGGCCCGCCTCGGAGATTATCGATTGTATCTTACTGCCCTGAGGCACCATCCGAAATGTCAGCCCAGAGATCGAAATCAAGTTCGTGCTCAAACTGCTCGGTGCCTTCGTTTCTTCCACTGTGGATGCCTCAAAGGCGTTGAACTGATCCTGAGCCCTCTCAACTTCCAGTGTGAGCTTGACTTTCTGTTCTATTTATCTAAACGCCAAATCCTGCTGAAATCTCCGCCGCTGCTTATAGTAAACGATCGCCGCTGCTTTATACTAACGATCGCCGCTGCTTTATAGCAAGTTTAGAATCATGAGCCGCTGTCTCGGGTTCCGTTCCACTATTATAATCCAGTGCGGCCTGCATCTTTTTCGTGGCCAGTTCGAGAGGCTTTTCTTTTGTCCGAGCTTCCGCTGCCTTGCTGTCCTTAACGCCTGACAAAGCGTCTTCATGCTTAGATGCTTGATATCCGGCACAGTGTTCCAAAATTATGGACACTCCTATTTAAAATGACCCTCCTGGTTGCAAACCAAAACAACTGAGCCAAATTTTGCAATCAACCCTCCCATTAAACTTTCGTGGTCAATGCCCGTCGCGTGTTCATCTTTAAGGCTAACACCGATCGCCTTCATGTCTTGTTTATAGGTCGGACATGCTGATACATGATGCATGTCCGTGGAACTGCAGTTCCACAAAATCGTCTCTTATTATCCTGCTTTGCACAGGTCCATTATTAAAATTGCCATAATTTTTCTTGTATTAACTCGATATCAGCAACATGTATTCGTTAAATTGCAGTCGCATTTCTTCCGGCGTTGGTGCTTTGATTGAGAGAGGCTCTCTTCACACTATAAATGAATTTCGAAACTATTGCCCAATTCAATCTACTGTTTGACTCGTCCAGATGAGGACCTCTTCTCAGGTTTTCAATGTTATCTGCGGTCTCTTCTTCCCGTTGCGTACGCTTCTCGAAGCGCATCATCGCTTGATCCCCTTGCAGCTCGAGCCAAACTGGTTCAACAGTATCACGAAACTACAGGTGAGCGCACTGCAGTCCTATCTTTCTGTTAAGTCTCCTACTTCTTAATCCAGCTTCATGACTTCTATCTATGTATCTATACAACCGTCGCATTCACCTTTGCAATAATTAGTTTGTTGATTACACTTTTAGACTTTTCGCTCCGCTCTTTGGTCTAGGACAACCCTGCGAGGAACACTACAAATATCTGTTTGGAGGTTCAGACACTGTCCGAGAATATCCGGTCTGATCGTGAGTATCAGATGTTCGAGGCTCTGGAACATCCCTTCTACCAGGATCGCTAGGTTGATCTCGTCCATGGTTTGAGTGATTCCAGCCCGAGGAATCACTTTTCCGACCGGCTAGTAGTAGAGCTCCCTCTGTGGATGGTCGTTGGATTTCTCGGCAGGTGACTCCTAGTGGCGTTATTCGATGGATTACCCTTTGCTCTAATGAATCCAACCGCTCTTCCTCTATTTGAATGCTCAATGAAGTGCACTCTTGTCTCTCTGCTCGTTTTTCTCTAGTGTGCTCCTCTGTTCGATGGCCCACTCCTTGTTACCAGAAACCATCTAATCTATCCATTATGGCATGAGTTGGCCTTTTCATCATTGAGTCTATCGTAGTATCGAGAATCCCAAGAGTCTGCTCCTGTTCACTCCAAAGTTGATCATGTCTTCTCTCAACCGTTGCTCTCTTTGCTCGGCATCCTGAGTCATTCGTGACAAGTTTCTCGCCAAGGGATCACCCGTTCTCTCTGTCAAGCGCTTCACGCTTTGACTGACTTCCTGTTTGTTGTGCTGTATCTCCTCTCGCAAGTTTTCTCTCTCAATGTGAAACTATCTCTCTCTCTCTCTCTCTCTCGCTCTCTCTCTCTCTCTCTCTCTCTCTCTCTCTCTTTCTCTAGTGCACTCATTCTGTTGGAAATCTGTTCCTGTTGCTCACCCATTCTATCCATGAACCTAGTCAGGGCTTCCTCTATTGACATCCTGTCAACGACCAATGGAGTCACCAGTGGTTGCGTCATCTTATTTGTGACAGACAGCTTGGTGTTAGTTGAAACCCGTGCCGCTTCTCTCTGTTTTAAAGGTCTTTCATAGTCCGCCTCCACTTCCCTCAGTGTAGTCACTGACCTGATGACCTTAGTCGCTTCTGCTTGGGTGTCAGAAGTGACTTTTGTCAGGAATTCACTAGAACGTTGCATCCTGTTTGAGGCCCTGTTGATCGTTATGACCGTACCAAACTGATCGGAATAGCCATCTTTCAACTATCAGGTACCATGACTTCATGGGTTTAACTTCTGAATATCAATTTGGATCCAAAGTCATCAACTTCTTGGTTATCATCTCCCTCTTCCTGAGTGTCGATGTTGTCACCAGTTCCTGCTGCCATGTGAACGGAATGAAATTTTCCAGAGTGTTTTTTGCCTTGTTACGAGAACGAGGAATACATTGCCTTCTTCCCTGACACCCCTTGTATCACGGTAAGGTCAATAAGTGAGCTTCCTACTGCTGGTTATTCAATCGAACTATCGGACAGTTCCGACAGTTTTTCTCGATCAAGAGTCCCGGTCGGTTTAGCGAAGTCTTGTACCAATTGTACTGGAGTAGACTTACTTTTTAGTCAATTCGTGCCGTTCCCCTTGGATCCAAGTTCCGCTGGAACCTCGTCCTGAGCAGAGTTCTGATGTATCTTTTCTTCCAATGTTGTTTGTTTGTCTTCCCAGTTCTTTTGACCCTTTGTTTCGACCTTATGGCCTGAAATTTTCTTCCCCTTCTTGTTCTGAGCGTCCTTGGTTCTTTCCACGAAAGGTTCGTCCACTGTATTCGTTTGTTTCTTCGGTTTGAATTTCCTAGAGCTAATTCGCATGTTAGGTATTCTAAACTTGTCTGGACTAATCTTACCCTATTACTTCCGAATTGACAAAAATTTGGACCACAAATTTGGATATGTATGTGTGGTTCCCGCAATTTTTGTCTTATTGACCAAAAAAATCATGATTCAAGCTCAAAAGGTCTTTAATTTTTTAGTTCAAAGCAAAAGTTTTGATCAAAAACGTTTCAGCTGAGACAATTTGCCAAAAACATTCCAATTTTGAACCCCCTGGATTGATGAATCTACTAAATCAAATACGTTAAGTCCCATTTCTCTGAGATCAAAAAGGTTACCGTCAAACGAATTTTAAAAGATGTCGGTTCACGAGTGTATTTTATCGCACTAACTTAAAAATCTCAAAAAACTTTGTCTTTTTGCGTCGTTTCGTTTTTCCAAAAATAACGAAAAATTGGATTTCGGTAAACAATTTTGTTCTGACGATCTCCGCACTAAAATTAAGCGGTTCCTCTAGTTATTTTATTCAAAATACTCGCTTTTATCCGTTACAATTTGTGGATATCTAAAAAATCGCGTTTTGTGGGAGATCAAATTATCAAAATTTTGACCCTAAAATTTGGTCTGTTTATGGAGTAATAGTATTAAAGGCCTAATTCGGAAATTCGCTACTTGGTGGAGGGTCAATACAGTGAAATCACTGTCGGGCCCCCTCCCCCCCACAGATTTATATCGTATATTCTGCACCAACAGGATAAATTTTTTTAACGATACCCAGCAGTCGTTTTTTGTTGTCCTTGTGACACTTCCTGCTGCTTCTTGTACTGACTGCTGGATCGGTTTTCTTCTGCAATCCTTGATTCTTCCGGTTTGAGTGCAACCTAGCCTTAATGTGAAAAATACTCAAATAACCCTACAGCCATGCAAAAGAAAAAGAATACAAGTTGATCATAACAATTTTGCTTTGATATAAATTTCTTGAACAAAAACTATCAAACAACAACAAACGGGAGAGTCGGATCGCATCTCGTCTGGGAAATGATTTCATTGATTTTACGTTTTTTTTTTTGGTTTTTTTTGTTTTCTTTTATGTTTTTTGGGTTATTCTTAGATTATATAACTTTTTTTGTTTGGTTTCCTAAAAAGTCATTGAGTGGTTTTGGTCATATACCGCTCAGGGTACGACGAAACGGCCATTCCCCCCAACCTTCAGAATTTTTGACCTTACCTATGTTTGAAAATTAAATGGGGGAATTCGGAAGGCTTCCTTGTTTCGAACCACCCTTCGTGCTCCTGGTTAAGGTCCTTATTCAGAGCATCCGCTCGGGCGAGTGTTCTTTCGTTAACTGGTTCGCCGATCATGATGTTAAGCATATGTATAAGTAACATTTGACCGGAAATACATACCGAAGGAAAATAAAGCTAGGCTCTACATTGACTGGCTAGAGCCAAAACAGAGCTTCACATGTCTTTAACCGTCAAAACCAGAGCCAGTTTAATGTGTGGTTCCCGTAGCACTGGGTCGAAAAAATTGTTATAAATTACGGGCCTGTAATCGTTATAACGTTCAAAAAACCTTAATTACATGCAAAACAGTGAGCTAATGGCTGATTCTCAGTATTCCCAGACCACGAGGTCACTCCTAAAAACAGGTTGGGTTAGTACATTATTATCATTTTTTTTGTTTCTGTTCAAATGATGAAATCATCATATCCATCGGAGAGGGATAGACCCTTTTCCTCAACCACTAGCTTCTCATTATCAGAAATTGAATCAGATTTTAGTTTAAATTCCTTTCGGGCCATTCCGGAAAGCTGAACGTTTTTTAAAAACTGTTTAGAGTTTCTCTCCGGTACCCTTCCGACTTCCTGAACCCGCGGGAAGAAGCGTATTCTTCACGATCGTGAAGGGTGGTAAGTCCGTTAGCCCTCCTGTTTCGCGGGATACGCTCTGTAGTGATCGTAGCTACACAATTGTAACACCTTGGAGTGTCTTCTTTTTTAGTTCCCGTGGTTCTCAATTCGATCGATTTTATAACTTCCTTGTGCGTTTTTCTCTCTTTTTAAAAGCAAAAATTGTTGGTCTGATTTTTGCTCTTTTCAGCTGTTGCGAAAAAAAACAGTTATTTGTCATGCACGCTCAAATCAAAAATTTGAAAAGAATCATGTCAGTCCAAACTGACCACCCCTCGCAGTTTGTTTATTTTGATAAACAAGACCGTCAATGGCTGAATTATCTTGAAAAATAGTGAGACCCGACAGCGTGGAAGAGGACAGCGTGAAAGAAGATTTCCTGCTCTTGCAAAATTCTTGCGAGAGCTGCTATCCCCTGATTTAAAAAGCTTTCAGTTCCAGCTTCATATAAGAAACTGGAGCGGTTTTGTTTGGATTTGTAACTCAAGAGATTGAAAAAATTGTTGTCGGACACAAAATACTCACACTATCTGAAAAAGATGTTGGCTCAAAAACAGTTCGAAAGCAGTTGTGAGGTAGGAAAAAGCTCCAATGAGGAGAATAGCAGCTGAAAATAATACAATATCGTCGGTTTACGGGTGATTATTTTAGGAAAGCTTTTTCGACAATCAACAGTTTCAGGTCAGAGAGTTTGAAATTGATCGAGTTGGTCGGAAAACTGTTTCATTAGATACAGCTTGCTATTGTCGTCCATGTGTTTAAATACAAAAAGCAACCAAATTCAACGAAGTTTTCCAGATATATTCCTATGGAAAAGTTTCGAAAGTTTTTTTTCTTCTGATTTTTGAATTTGCTTCACTACACGATGCAGCTGAAAAGTTAAATTAGCCAGAGTTTAGCGGATAAAGCTGGCGACTTGAGATATTTTCCAATTTTACTTGAAGTACATAACAGACTAGATGGTTTTGAGAAAAAAACAATCATTTGTTAATATGGACAAAATGGGACCAAAAATAAACATTTTGATTGTTTTTGGTATGTTTTCCAGTTTTTTTCAAGCAAATAACGGAGATGTTTTTGGAAAAAGACAATCAAATGCTCTTTTTGAGATGTTTTTTGATCAAAGTTTGTCTGAAATTTTAAGTTTTTAAGATTATTTAGTTTTTTTATACTTAATGTATTCAATTTGTATTTTTTAGCAACAACTAGAAAAACGGCGTTGAATATTGGGTAATTGAATCTCCGGAATACTACTACTGACTTCAGGGTAGATCAATAATAAATCTTTTCGTTACTCAAACAAAGAATGTACTTGGAGCTTTCAAGTTTCGACAGTTTAATACCTGTTGCACATTTTTAAATGTAAGATAACTGCAAAGTGGCTAATTTTTATAAAATAAATTAATTTTTTCGTGAAATCAGATTCAAATCTTTTAAGTCAGACACAGATGAAAAAAAAAATCCCATGTCTACCAAATTTTTACTCTCTACAAGCGAGGATAGAAGAGAGCATCGGGCGTTGATTGCTCGATTGGAAAAACTTTTTTTTTTGGTTTTTTGAGCAGAAAAAGACCAAGTAGATCCTATTTAACAAAAAATTATCGGCAAAAGATTCCGCAAAAACTTATAATTTAACTGGAACTTGTAGAGTTCCTTCAGATTCCATTCTTTTTATCTTCTGCTAGAGGAAGATGAATAACGTCTAGCATATGAAAGTTTCGTATATTTTTCGTAAAGAATTAACATGTGCAAGTTTCCTATAAATCGAATAACTGCATCCTTACACATAATGTAAATTAATTCAGTAACAACATTATACAATGCTGATAGTTTCTCATTGATCTATTTATTTTAGTTTGACTTTTTAAACTGCTTATTGCTGTACAAAATCTTTTCAGGGCCTAACTTTTTTTAAGACAAAAAAATGAGAAAGCTTATGGATATAGTTGAATAATATTTTGAATTTTTTCTCACACATATCTTAGTTTCCAATGAAAAATCCAAGCATTTCTGAGTTCTGAAAATTTTGGAGCCGGATAACAGTTTGACAAGAAATGGGGATAAAACTGCTTGCTTAACTTCAAAATTAAATTTCTTCTCAAACAAAACCTTCTACGTTTCTTTGACATCTGGACACAGAACTTCAGTACGGCTGGATAGATTCTCCAAGGAGGACCGTAGTACTGTTTTGGCTGATTCACCACAAAATGGTAAAATCTATAAAAAAAAATTTCGTCAGATATTTTTTCTCGCAAATTTTGCTCACCAACGACGTTTTTTTTTTCAGAAAATTACAAATTTGAATATAGTGCTGAATCAGCCAAAAAATAACTACGGGTCTCCTTGGAGAATTTATGCAGCCGTATTGAAGTTCCGATTCCCAGGCTGATCCTAACGTCTAACAAGTTGATATAAATCCTCAGAAGTCCGGACAAGAAGCCAAAACTGGTCAATAGTGGCA